TGCCCTGCTGCCTCTGCCCCTGTCAGCTGTCCCTGCCCTGCTGCCCCTGCCCGCTGCCCTCCCTCACTCACCAGTGTGTGCCGCTTCATGTGCTCACGCCGCGTGAACTTCTTCCCGCAGATCTCGCAGGGGTACGGACGCTCCCCGGTGTGTGACCGCATGTGGCGCTTGAGGATGCACTGGTGCATGGCTGAGAAGCTGCAGTACGGGCACTTGAACTTCTTCCTGATCACCGTGAACTCATTCACTGAAAGACAGAGACCCGCCAGGCATCAGCAGGGCCTGGGATGTGCTGCCCTGCGCCCCACAGACCATGGCTGCCCCCTGCAGCCCAGCAGCCAGGACACCTGTCTCCCACGGCCACCCACCAGGCACTGGCCAGCACTGCAGCAGGCTGGGCTCCCCCGTCTGCAGAGACTGTCCCACACATGGCCTGGGGGGCGGTGGCAGCAAGGCTGAGCCCCACGGAGCTCAGGAGCCCCAGCTCTCATGAGATCTTTCCCTCCAGGCCAAGGGCCCATGGCGCCACTGAGGACAGACCAAGAGCCCCCAGGCCAAAGGCAGGAGGCAAGGGGTGAGGACAGCCAGTGCCTCACACAGCGCCCAGTCCCTGCAGGACCCTCCTTCCAGCCCAGACCCCCTGAGCAGCCGTGGGTAGCAGGCCCTGGGCGTGGTTTCAGATCAGACGCCTCCTGGAGGCACATAAGAAACAAACACTTCAGAGTAACAGGACCCAAAAGAGAACAGGGGAAACGCGGGACGGGAGAGCCACTCAAAGCCCTGACCCCTTTCTGCTGCATGCGGGAGAAGCAGCCAGACCCACTTAATCAAGTTCTTCCCCCACAACCCTGAGACCCAACGTCACTCAGCAGCAGGAACTCCACACCATCTCCATGGTGCGTGCCCTGGGGCCAGCCTCAAAAACCTGGGGGACCCCCAGCACCCCAAATGTCGTTATGCTACTCAGGCCCAGATATGGGCACATCAGACCTGGGCACAGGCCAGTGGGAGAGTCTGGAGCAGCCACGTCCTTGGCACCCCCAAGAAACCCACCTGAACCCCGTGAGCGCACGCACCGAGGGATCTCGGGGTACTCGCCGCTGTGCAGGACGAGGGCCTCTTCCCCTTCACATACGTGACCACTTTCAATGGCAGGAGTTTTAACTACACAACGCACCATAATTCATTAAACAGGCAGTGCCGGTGAACACTTGTTTCTACGTTTTCACCTTGTCAACAACACTTCGGTGAGGCTCCCACAGCTGGGCCTGTGCAGCCCTCTGCCACCTCCTGGAGACAAGCTCTGAGAAGGGGAATATGCGCCACCGTGCTGATCGCAGCCCCCACTTGCCATGCCGAGGGTCCATGGAGGCCCTGGGGCTCCAGGGGACAGGCACAGCCCCACGGCTAGGATCTTCCAAAAGGCAGGTGTACAGGAAACTCAGCATCTGCTAGGAGCACTCACTTTGTGAAACTGGAGCATGTCTGTGTGGCCAAGACACGGAAAACCCAAGAGGCTGAGCCTGGCGCAGCAGCGCCTCTGAGCAGCTGGCTGCGTTCCGCGCACGTCCCACCGCACGCTGCCCCAGCGGCTGCGGAGGATGAAAACCCAGGCTCTTCCTGGCCTCTCTCCGACAGCCGCACGGTGTCCCTGGCTCTCCTGGGAGTCAGGCATGGGAGGTTTCTCCTTCCCAACACACCGCCCCCCACCACCCTCTCACCCTGATGGCGCCTGTTCTCGAATTATCACACCCAGCAGCACAAACGCTCCACATGTTCTAGGCTGGAAAAGGAGAGCAAGGAAATGAGCTTTTTGATTATTTTATTTAAAACAACTTTTTCTTTTTTTTTTTTTTTAAAGATGGGGTCTTGCTATGTTGCCCAGGCTGGAGTGTGGAGTGCAGTGGCTATTCACAGGCGCGATCCCACTACTGATCAGCACAGGAGTTTTGACCTGCTCCGTTTCCAACCTGGGCCTGTTCACCTGCTGGTCCCCTGCTCCCGGGAGGTCACCATATTGATGCCAAACTTAGTGCGGACACCTGATCAGCATAGCGCACTACAGCCCAAAGCTCCGGGGCTCAAGCGATCCTCCCACCTCAGCCTCCCGAGTAGCTGGGACTACAGGCAGGTGCCACTGCACCCGGCTATTTTTGTTTCTTTTTTCTTTTTTTAAGACGGGGTTTCACCACATTGGTCAGGCTGGTCTCAAACTCCTAACCTCAGGTGATCCACCTGCCTCAGCCTCCCAAAATGCTGGGATTACAGGCGTGAGCCACTGCGCCCGGCTGTTTTTGTTTCTTAAACAAGATGAGAAAGCCGGGCGCAGTGGCTCAAGCCTGTAATCCTAGCACTTTGGGAGGCAAAGGTGGGTGGATCACCTGAGGTCAGGAGTTCAAGACCAGCCTGGCCATCATGGTGAAACCCCATCTTTAAAAAAAAACAAAAAACAAGATGAGGTCTTGCCATGTTGGCCAGGCTGGTCTTGAACTCCTGGGCTTAAGCGTTCCTTCCACCTTGGCCTCTAAGAGTGCTGGGATTAGTCATGAGCCACTGTCCCTGGCCCAAAACAACACTTTTGAGAATATGTTCATTCACGGTTTCTATTCTTCTTATACAAACCTGAAAATTAAAATCCTGAATTATCCTTTATTTTAGCCGTTTCTATTTAATAATTCAGACCTACATGTTAAATAAATGTTTATCTCTGTATAGAAACGCTGTGCTTTTTCCGTAGAAAGACAACACAGAACGGACACGAGCAGGACTCAGCGTTATGTCCCCGTCAGAATATGGACCACGCAGACGGCAGAGCCAAGCTGCAGACCGTCCCCTTACATCCTGCACTGTCTGGAGCTGCCTGCGATGCACGTCAGCTTTTTCTTTTTTCTTTTTTTTTTTTTTTTTTTTTTTGAGACGGAGTTTTGCTCTTGTTAACCAGGCTGGAGTGCAATGGCGCGATCTCGGCTCACCGCAACCTCCGCCTCCTGGGTTCAGGCAATTCTCCTGCCTCAGCCTCCTGAGTAGCTGGGATTACAGGCACGCGCCACCATGCCCAGCTAATTTTTGTATTTTTAGTAGAGACGGGGTTCCACCATGTTGACCAGGATGGTCTCGATCTCTTGACCTTGTGATCCACCCGCCTCGGCCTCCCAAAATGCTGGGATTACAGGCATGAGCCACCACGCCCGGCCCTAGCTTTTTCTTAATGCTCTATTTTCCTGCCACCCCGCCCCCAACAACCTGGGAGACTCAGAACAACCCAGATCCACTCTCTTGCAGCCCTGGAGGCCAGAGGTCGGACATCAAGGTGTCAGCACGGCCTTGCTCTCCCCAGTGACTCCAGGGAGTGTCCCTCCAACCTCAGCCCCCAGTGGTTCCAGCTGTCTCTTGGCTTGTGGCCACACTGCTCCAGTCTCTGACACCATCTGTGTGGCCTCTTCTGTCTGTGTCTCTTTCTCTTCTGTCTCTTAGAAGGACACCTGTGATTGGACTTAGGGCCCATCTGGCCAATACAGGAGGGCCTCATTTTGAGATCCTTCATCATATCTGCGAGGCCCTTTTCCCAAATGGTCACATTCACAAGCTCTGAGGATCCGGACTTTTTGAGGGATGTTCACTACTCAACCCACTACATTTGAGTGACAGTACTGTGATTGTTGAGGGAATTTCATTGGCTGTCATTACTAAAATAATTTCTTACTGGAAACAACATCTTGCATGATTTACTTGTGATTTACAGTCTATATATCTCAGAAAAAAATTAACATCGGCCGGGCGTGGTGTCTCACGCCTGTAATCCAAGCACTTTGGAGGCCAAGGCGGGCGGATCACCTGAGGTCGGGAGTTGAAGACCAGCCCAACCAGCATGGTGAAACCCCGTCTTTAAAAAAAAAAAAGAAAGAAAGAAAAATAAAAAAATTAACATCACATAGTTTCATTCTCATAAACACTAGCAAGGCCTTAAAATCCATTTGGTAATAGTAATTAAATGAAAAAGCATAAAGATCATTCTATGGAAACAGGCACTCTACCGGTCTGTCCTGAAAACAGAACCCTTTGTCAGGAATCAAGTGTTCTCACAAGGAAAAGGCCGACTTCCAAAAGAATAATTGAGAAGCAGTGCCATAAAGGGTGGCACGGATTCCCTAAAATGGGACATTCGACGTGGTACAGAACTGTGTCTGTGAAAACGCTGCGGCCATTCGTGCCAGGCTGCAGGCCTCCCGAAGCTCAAGGAAGAGCAGAGGTCTCTGGCCTCCCTGCGCCACGCCAAGGCGGCTGCACTTGGCCCTTCCTCTGCCCCTCACAGCACGCTTCCCGCTGCAGGAGAATCCGACGTGTCCTAAATAGCCACTGTACCAGGGAACAGTCCAGAACCTTTTCATGATAGTGTCAAAGACTGCAAGAAACCAGCAGGGACCCAAATGGACTGGTAGGTTGGCTTCAAGCCGTCAGAGAGGGGACAAGGCACCTTCAGAAGGGCCCAAGTCTGCTGCTTCCTGAGTCTTCATCACACAACCGTCTGGATATTGGTCTGGATATAATTTTCTTTTCTTTTTTCTTTTTTTTTCTTTTATGAGACAAAGCTTCCCTCTTGTTGCTCACGCTGGAGTGCAATGGCGTGATCTTGGCTCACTGCAACCTCTGCCTCCTGGGTTCAAGCAATTATCCTGCCTCAACCTCCTGAGTAGCTGGGATTACAGGTGCACCACCACTCCCAGCTAATTTTGTATTTTTAGTAGAGACGAGGTTATGCCATGTTGGCCAGGCTGGTCTCAAACTCCTGACCTCAGGTGATCCACCCACCTCAGCCTCCCAAAGTGCTGGGATCACAGGCGTGAGCCACTGCAACCAGCCAAGATTCATTTTTTTCCTCCATGTTAATGGCCAGTCACTCAGCACCACATATTGAAAAAACCATCTGTCCCACACCCAGGTGCAGAGGCGGCTTTGTGACCCCCTGAGGTGGCTTTGTGACCACCTGTCCCACACTGAGGTGGCTTTGTGACCACGTGTCCCTCACCGAGGCGGCTTTGTGACCACGTGTCCCTCACCGAGGCGGCTTTGTGACCACCTGTCCCTCACCGAGGCGGCTTTGTGACCACCTGTCCCTCACCGAGGCGGCTTTGTGACCACCTGTCCCTCACCGAGGCGGCTTTGTGACCACGTGTCCCTCACCGAGGCGGCTTTGTGACCACCTGTCCCACACTGAGGCGGCTTTGTGACCACCTGTCCCTCACTGAG